GATCAAACGTATAAATGTATGTATATATGTATATATATGTATACAATACATATTCAGGGAACCGGTATCGATTGTGTCAGAAGAGCGTGCCTCTTTTCATCTACCCACACCTTACGCGAACACGAGACGCCATTTTTCTTCTCCTGTGAGCCGAATCGAAGGAACTTTATCTCCTTCCTACGGCAACTCCTCCTTTCTTGCCACCTAAGAATTTTCAGGAGATTTCGAAGACTTGCTCGCGCGTTTGAAAACAGCGGGAGAAACTTTTCCCTTGATCAAGAATTGATTTGTTACGTACAGGGGCGGCTAAATTGAAAGCTGTTTAATCATTTTCGCGAAGATACCCGAATACGCGTCTTTTCCAATTTTTATAGGATATTTTGAGGAAGCGAAAGGAAGCAACGCGGTTTCCAAAGTGATTTTCTGTTGAGCTTCGAATTAAGAGGAGAAAGAAGTATTGCAATAGGAATTTATTAGAAACTTATATCTCTCCTGGAAAGAGATTTGAATGTTTTGCTATACTTCTGTGTCTTCCGGTATGAAAAGTTGAATTTCTTGTTTTAATATCGCCTACCGTTACAATATTTTCTACAATTTAATTGGTTACGATATTCGTCGTTGTGCACGTTTCGTTTATTAAGACCTTTGGTAAAGTGTTTGCTGTAATTTTATATAGAATTTTTATTCGAGACACCGTGAGCTGTTTTTAAAATAATATCTACCAATCTGCGTGTTAGATAGAAAGGAGACAAATCCCAGATAGCACACGTTCATTTTCGGTCTGAACGTTTTGAAGACGAACGAATCGGTACGTTCTGACAATGTATCAGAATTATTGTACATTTTTAAGACGCTTCTAAAGGCGACGCATAGTGTTTTGCAGCGTCACGTTTCAAAGACATCTTAATTTGTAACACTGGACATCATTCAGGCGTCTTCTGGACGTTTACAAGATGTCTGTGTGCTATCTGGGATGAAATTCACCTATGCATAGGTACTTTTTAGAAAACGCCCTTAGCCCTTTGCGGACGATTCCGCGCAAGCCATCAGCATAGCCGGTAGGTTCATAATCGGCGGGTCAGAAAGAAGATGAAATTTATACATAACTTGGCAAACGAAGATTGAAGTAGAGACGCAGTGATCTGTTGAATAATTATTCAGCGTATCTCGAACGTGAGAAAAGTGTGCTGACGATTTCATTTTGGCTATCGTTGTAGCGACTTGGCTCCACAGAGCGCTTGGCTTCGAATTAGGCCATCTAATTTGCTCCGATTTACAGTTATCCGAATTTTGAGCGTCCGAATACTCGGATAGCTATTCAATTTAGCGACGAGTCTATCGGGTATTAACACATTCGCAACTGTATAGTAATTTCTTCACATTTCTAATACTGAAAGCCGGTTAAAATAAGGAAACTCGAAAGCTGGTTGCCGCAGACTTCCGTCATTAAGACGAAGATCAAAATTATAAAATTTGTTTTCAGAAAAATAACCTAACCAGGAAGAGGATTATAAATAACGCGAATTCACGTCAGTTGTTCCGAATGTATTATGTAGGTACCTATCAGTTTCGAATAGTCTCCTGTAAAATTACTAAATTATAATATAAAGTAGACACACTTTGCGCCTTTTGTATGATAGATACACGAGTCGTGTGTGTGTGTTCCTCATTTCTTAATCTTGATCCTTTACTTGATCTTGCTCTCTTTAACCCTCCGCAGGCAAACATATTTTCTCACACTCCCAAGTCTAACTTTTTTTACCGTTCTAAGCTTTCCGAAAATCTGCAAAAATTCTAGAGTACCTGCCTATCGAAGTCTTTTTGTTTCAACGAAAATAAAACTTCGCTTCAAAGAAATGCACTTGAATGCACAAAGAAGACACTTGGAAGTCGTCGAGGACCCAAATTGCCTACGGAGGGTTAATCTAAATCCAGATAACAAAGCTTCATATTCGAGTAATTGGCGAAGAAAATCCGAATCCAGATAGACAGGCACTCGAATTTCGGCACCAAGTTCAGATTATAATAACTATGTCGAGTATACTCGGGTATCCGGAGACAGTAACAGCGCTCTACTTCGAATCGCTCGGTCCGCAAAGGGTTAGTTCGTTGTAACTGAATTATTTTTCCTTACAAGGCAGTGTCGCTATGAACAGCGACACATCTCCCTCATCAATGCGTGAACGTAATGTGAAAATGTTGTATGTTGTTGGTATGGCAGGCGTTTCGGGACAAAATGCGCGGGCTGCGGCCAAGGATTGGCACCGTCGCAAGTCGTGCGTAGGGCGCAAGAATTGGTCTACCACCTAACCTGTTTCTCCTGCGCCCTTTGCTCTCGACAGCTGGACACTGGCGACGAGTTCTACCTCATGGAGGACAGAAAGCTTGTTTGCAAGCCTGATTACGAACAGGCGAAAGCAAAAGGTAACGAATAACAATATCTCTGCTTACTGTTCTGATAGTGTAAGTTAAATTTTCGGTCGAACAGGATAACTACCCTGATATATTATACGTTGCTGTCCTTTGCTTATGGTTCTAATGGTAGAAGTCAATTTCACTTCTTTCACGCTCTTTTTCCTGAGATTTCAATAGCATATGCCAAAAATACAGTATAAATGCTTCTCCAAAAAAACTAATAATCCTGACTTATACTCTTTTGCCCGCGTCTGTTTAGAGCTGTTTGGGCCCTAGGCGTACAAATGAAAATCGGGGCCCTTGTTATGTAAACAAAAATTAGAATGATGTTTGTTTAAGAAAAATCCACAATTTTTGAAGTTGCGTTAATTTATATTATAGTTTGAGATTAGAAAAAGAGCTACCGGGTGTTTCCCCCTGCCACCAAACGTGCCCAAATATTACTGTTATATGTTTTTTAATGAAATTTATAAGTCAAAGGCAGCGTATTTATTTATTCATTTCTAGGCATGTGCCTATTTTGCCTAATGGTAAACCCTGCCCACCAGAGAGCCACTCAGAAGTCAAAGTGACCAACTCCGTCGAATTACATTTATCAAATTTTTTTTATTTATGAAGAGTTAAGCACCAAGCATGTACCTTGATACTAAAATTTGAAGAGCATCAAAAAGTGGAGTTAATCATTTTGCCTTCTGAGTGCTTACAAGAATTTACTATCGGGTTGAGTGGGAAGTTCGTGCTGATTTCTGATAGAAACTCGATGGAATCATGTGAACTTCGCATATACTCCGACGGATCATTTTTTCACGTTTCTACTGAAAATTTATTCCTTACAATTATTATACTAACTTCTTCTCAGAGTTGTATAGTATTTTGAAGATGGCTGAAAATAGAGTAGATTTCCGACGCTTAATGTTTCTCTTTGATCAAAAAGGGATAAATGCTACTAAAACAGCAATACAGCAATATTTTATAGTATACATAGTTTTTGCCAGATTGAATACATAAAACAAGAATTATATTATATCACAGATCAGACTATATTACTAAGATTATATTTAGATTTGCAATTAAAAACAAGTTTATAATTAATAGACAAGGAAAAGCAATGCAATATTTTACAGTATAAATAGTTTTCGCAAGATTGAAAACGTAAAAGAAGAATTAGCTATTAGAATATCTAGACGATACGCGTGTTTGTTCCTTCGAATTACAGAATTGGCGGATGGCGGAAGCATAGATGGTGACCAGCCAAATAAAAGGCCAAGGACTACGATCACAGCTAAACAGCTGGAGACTTTGAAATTAGCGTACAATACCAGTCCTAAACCAGCGAGGCACGTGCGAGAGCAACTTTCTCAGGATACAGGACTCGATATGCGCGTCGTCCAAGTCTGGTTCCAGAACAGGTACGTTTATTTGGTAAAATCGAAATTAATTGTGACAATTAATACCGTAGAAATTAATCGTTTATGTAGCAACGATAATTTCTTAATTGTTGTTGACAAAACTACCTGTACTTCAAAATATCATCCATTACACTCGTGTAATGTGTAGTCGTTTTACTGCACGGTAGTTTCCTTCTGTATTAAAATCTACACGCGTATTTATTTTCTTTAGTATTCTTTTACCTACACTACCGGCCAAAAGTTTGGAATCACCTCCCACTTTTCATCAATATTAAATCTTCTGCTAATTTTTTATAGATTTGAAGTTGATCTCAATTCTACATTTATCAATTTATCTCATATCAATTGATTCGAACGATAAAAAATTCTCAAAGTCGCTGACCTTTTTTGTGGAAATTTTTGTGTAAATTGCAATGCTCAGTGATTCCAAACTTTTGGCCAGTAGTGTATCTATGAAATTTATACGAGTATTGGAAACAGAAATACAGAAAGGAAAAAAGATAAGGTGGATTTTAATTTTCAATCGTTACAAAATTGCAACATATTTATTTTACGTAGTATTTTCTTACGCCTATATAGAATTTGTACGAGTATTAGAAATAAAAACAGAAAGAGGAAAAGAAATATAAGGTGGATTTTAATTTTCAATCGTTACAAATTTGCAGTACACATATTTATTTCATTTAGTATTTTTTACGCCTCTAGAGGAATTTATACGAGTATAAGCAACAAAAATAGAAAAAGGAAAGGAATATATTAAAATTGGAATTTTTCAGTTTTATAAAAATTGCAAGGAACTTCTTTTATTCGAAATCGTAGCTAATGCATTACCTGAAATGCCGAAAACAATGAGAATTTGTATAGGTATAAGTGTGCATATGCTCGAAAGTGATCGAGTTAGAGGAGAGCCCACATGCGCAAACTTTTAAGTAGTATTTAAATGCTGATGTAAAGTACAGTTACAAAAGCATTACCTGTGTATACAATAATTGTGAAACGTTGATGCCTGAAGTTGGGATACCGTACAACGCTGATTTTATCGTAGTTTTAAAAGCTGTCTGCGACACAATGCGAAATTGACAAAATAATACGAATCTACTTAACTCGTGACATTTGTGATAATTAATTAGAAAATTTAGTTAATTCGATACAAACCTCTGACAATATTTCTTATCATAACACAATTATTGAAACTGCGCAGCAAGTAATTTTTTACCTAAAATATTTAAGTAATTTTCACGCGATTTATTTTAAGAACGCGATAAATTTCAATTCACATCTCACACTTCTAAGAGAAGAACTTGTGTAATTAATTTAAAGATTTACTCAATTGTGCATTAATTTGGTGCAAACCTCTGACAATATGTCTTATCGTAACACATTTATGACACAATTATTAGAACTATGCAACAGGTAATTTTAAGTAATTTTCGTGCATAGTAGCGAAAGAAAATTTATAAAAAGGAATGAATTTTACAATAATCCTTTGGCACCTGTAGCAGAAGAACTATTGTAATTCACGCTGAAACGAAGAAAACAGTTTTACTTGAAAATATTCCTCAAGCGCGTATCATTATTCATTTTGAATCTTCAGAAAAATAGCAACGTTATACGTGATACGCGGTGAACACGTCACGGGGCACCAATTGTTGCATTAATCCCAGACTCGATATTTTTCAACCGGTCGTTTCGCTATCACCTTCAACAACATACCGTACCGCGCTGTGAGAAAAAATAGCTTTATCTATTCTACTAGCACGTACATAATCCTGTGGCTTCATAAGTAAAACGGTGCACATTGAAAATCTCGAGACAAAGTATCGTCGTTATCGATACTTCTGTCATCGTTGATCGTTGATAAAAGAATTATAAAGTCTACAAAAAGAAATACTTCTGTAGCATGCTTTTCTTCAAGCTCTTCCACGAAATTGAAGTGACCTTCTCCAATGATTCTTCAAGCAATAGAAATCGCGTTCGAAAGCACGTGCACATGGAGATAAAATTGGTACTTAGTTACAACTTTCAATAGCTGTAATCTATGAGACTTATCAGCTTCAAAGCGGAAAAGAATGAATGTAAAGTTTAACGGAGTTATTGCACCTCTTATAACTGCTTGGAAATTCAGAAAATTAATATTAATTTTTCTAAATGAATTTATCGATATGTATATATGAAACGTCTAAATTAATTTATAATTATAATTTGCAAACAATACCAGCAGTTTGAGATACGTAAGTCACCATTTATATCCTGTTACAAAAGGAATGCGAGATAAATGGGAAAATATCTTCAGAAATGAATGAAATTTAAAAGTTCTTTTTCTTTCGTTCATTTTCCAACGTTCCTCTTTAAAGGCGCCTAACTTCCTTTCTTTCGTCAAATGTAAAATCATTTCTGATCGAAGATTTCTTATCGATAACCCTTTGATATGATATTCTTTTTTACATATATGTACTCTGCCGCTCAAAAGTTCAATCGCAGTAAAACCTGGGAGTAACTATACGGGGAAAAAATGAATTAGGTGGAAAATGATAAACCTTCACTCTTGAATCGAGTTCGATATGAAACTTTGAATTTGATAAACGAAATTGGCATTTCATCGATTTCAGTGAAATGAATTGAAATGAATTGAATTTACATCGCACTTTTGCATTACGCGATTAAATTTATGAGCGGTAGTGTACATATATAT